AAAAGCAAAAACCTCTTTTATTGAACTGCCTGCTATTTGATTGAGAAACATAACACTCAGAGATGAGATATTGGCTCAATTGTCTCTCAGGAAATGTGTGCTCTTGGTGCCAGACTGAGTGTGCATCTGATGGTGCATAGCACATTTGTACAGCTCTCTCAACATCTGGAGTCTCATTTTTTGCAGGTCCTCCAGCTTGCCTTCCACATGTGGTACAGATGCCCCCCAACTCCCTGCTCCCTACAGCCTACAGAACACCAGAAAATGCAGTCTGACATGGTTTAAATTTTCATCTATGTGGTTTGCTTTTCTTAATTATGTAATGGATGGGTTTAAGAGCCCTGGTGCTGTGAATATGAAGCAAACCTTTGAGGCAGCCCCCACAGTTCGTGGCATAGCTGCTGTAACACCGTGTCAATCACTCCAGCTCCGAGCACAGAAGGCTGCAGTGGCACTGTTACATTTCAAATAAAGATCATTCATGGGGGAACTGGGTAATTTCTCTGCATGGAGCTGTCTATTTCAGATGCCTGGAAGAGAAAATGGCACTAAATATCGTTCATTATGTTTAACTCATCTGATTTTTAAAAGAAGACATTTGCTTCAAAATGGCTTTAAAGCTCTCCCCTCTGGAGCTCTGGGTATTTCAGTCACCTGAGGCTGGGAGGGAAGGGTGCTTTCCTGTCTCCAATTTCAATTTCATTGCTAAATGGTGAGTTGCAATTAAAAATGTCTCCATGTGAAGACACTGCCATAGCTGTGAACCTCCCTGTGTCACACACAGGTTCAGCACAAATGAGCACAGACCATCTTGCCTCATCCAGGCAAGCTCTGTAGAAGTGCTCTGCTGAGCCAAGAAGATGCCTTATCTGCAAAGGCTGGATATTCCCCTAAGAATCTGTCTCCTGGCATAACATTAGGTATTCAGGATTTTTCTGAAAGGTCTGGTTTACTATATACACTGCATTTGTAATGGCCTCCCTGGGAATTGTGTCTGATATCAGAAAGATATGTCAAATACTTGGCTGTGCAATAATTTTGGAATAATGCAAATAATTGCACTTTCCAAGGCAGGGAACCTAAGTGGCTATTGAAAACTTTCATTTTCGTTTCATTTAAATCAGTAAAGTTAATTGCCTGTCCATAACAAATAAAAAAGAAATTCATACTTTGGAAGATGGCCACAGGCCTCCAGTTGATATTAATTGAATGTGTTTTTACACATTTCAGAGTGAAATTTTATTTCAGTACTTCATTGAGTATTCTAGGAATTCCTTGACAACATAGCACAGGGAAATTGGGTTAATCACACATTCCTACAAAAGGCACAGGAAGGCCAAGTTTGGAGTCAGAAAGGTGCACATCACCATCCCATGGCAAAGGCACTATTTACTTCTTGGGTTTATTAAAATAACATAATATTGAAAAATAAACATAAAATGTTTATTTAATTAGTAAGTAAAAATTACTATTATAACCTTTATAACCCAGCTATGTGCAGAGAAAAATAGATACCAGTTTTTAATTCTCTACCATTCCTCAGAGTGCTGAGACTTTTTGCAGGGAAAAAACCCAAAATCCTGCTCAGCTGAGTATGAACTAGAAGGTCAGGTCAAATTTAAGTGTTACAAGGTAGTGAATCTCCTGTCACTTTCACTCACTAAAAAATGTTATCTCTGATTTTAGGTGGTTGCAGGAGAACAGCCTTACACTCAGGAAATGAACTTGTCAAAACCATTTTTGGCTTGAGAGGATCACAAGTCTTGGCTTTTGACCAGATTTTTACTACCCTTTGGGTTTAGCTGAACTGAAAATATTCTTAGAAAAGGAGATAATCTGAATCTCTGCAATCACTGGCTCAAGCAAAGCCAGAACATTCAGATGGAGGCTGAACCGAGATGAGAGAGCAGAGGGCTTTGATTTGAGTAAAAATGCATTTAACTCAAATATTTTTCACATTTGAGAAAAAAAATTATTTGTATTATAATACTGCTTCACAACTTGGCAAGGTACACACACTCAGGTAGTACAAAACTGCATCACAGAACTTTTCTGACTGTGGAACAGCACACATGGAAGCCATGAAGAAGGTGACCTGGGCTTGCACCAGTGTTTTCAGTGGAACCTGTCTTCTCTATGTCACCTGGATGCTCAAGCTGTGAAAGCCTCCTTGATGCTACTTACTAAATTCTGCCTTTAAATGAGGACACACAAAATAGAACAGCAAAAGACCAGGAAATACTCTGGGACTTGGAATTTGCTTTCCATCCCTGGGGAAGTGTTTTTCCCGCCCTTTGTTTCAGTGCTTCCTTTGTGGAATATAAATCTTGCTACTTCAACCAGCTAGTAAGCCCCCGATATATGCGTCCCATCCAACAGGACATGGCACCTCTTCACAGGGGTCCACCTCCTGTCAGGATGAAGCTCTGTAAGAATTAAGTCCTCAGAAGGTCATGCTAATATGTAATTGAGTCATGGAGATAGATGAATCACACAAGCTGCATGCGCAAAATGATCACTTTTCAATATGTGATTTCATAAAGGGGAGCTTGGTTGTAACAGAGCGAAAAAGTTGCTCTTGATTCCGAATTATGACACCCCAGTCCAGCCTATTGAAATTGCATGGGTGAAACCAGAAGGGGGAAAGATTATCCAGCTGAAACCAAGTGCCTCCATTCTGCAATGAGCAATCTCTGATTACAGCACTGGTGTCCATAATTAACTAGAATCCACCAAGCTAGACCATTTCAATATTTCTAATTTTATCATTTGGCAATTAATCTATTTTTGGTGGTACAATGTTTACTGCAAAAAGAAACTACTGCCTGCTTTCAAGCCTTGCTAGATGGAGAAGGACCTCAAAAATAGATGAGAAAAGGTGTATACTGTATATGTATTTTTCAGCTGTTGAGAACACTGCAAGGAAGAGCAGGTGTGCAGCACAGGTAAGTATTCCCAGTCACCTGAAATGTCTGGTTATTCATTTATAATAATGTCATTTATCATCAATGACACTCATAATCTCAGGAGGGTTTTGCATATCATGAATGCTTACTTAGGTTCTGTTTTGCACAGTACCTATCACAGGGCTCCATTTATGGGCTTGTGAAGAACTATTATGCCAATAGAAATAATAGTGATTTTTATTAGTGGCAGAAGGAAGGGATGACACTCAAAGATCGGATTGGAGCTTAGATGAAGCTAAAATGTCCTGCTGTATTCTCACTTCCAAAAAACATGGCCATAGAAAGGAAAAAAAATTCTCTTTTTCAGTTCAACAGTTCTTTTATTACAATATATTTTAAATATACCTTTGAGCCAGCAGGTTTTCTAAGATTGTCACCTTTTTCTTTTTTCCTTCTGCTTTTAGGTCTCGGATTCCTTTTCCATAGAAGCTATTAGCTTTGCACTGAGAAATAAAAGGGGAATGTTTCAATGACAGCAAGATGCAGCACTAGGTGCAATGTTATATTCTGAGTAAATGATACCATTCAAAGGGCAAGCAGAGCATGAATAGCATTGATTTCCAGAAGAGCTATTTCAGTACTCAGCAAAGTTTGATAAGACTGCTCTCCTTCTCTGCCTGAGTTGTTGAGAGGCTGTGTCCCACACCAGGAGGCAGCAATATGGTCTGAGCTAAATGTAACTCACCACCTCCTGTGGGGTTGTCAGCGTTAAACTGTGCCTGGGCTCACCACCCCAGCCTCGTGGAAAACTCAAGAGCTTCCCACAGTGCCACTGTGTGCTAAGGCAGGAGTGCCCAAGCTGCACTTTACATTCTAGAAAGGCTCACAAAGCAGTTTTGCATCATCAAATCACTCAGTGACCTACTCCAGGGGTATCTGAAATCATCTGGCATCCAAGGGTGAAGGCCTGACTGGTGGCTGAGAGCCCCCAAGGGTGAAGCTGAGCAGGAGGAGACCCTTTGGAACCAGCCCAAGCCAATGGGATGCTCTTTTAAAACTTCAAAACCAAGAGCAGCAGCATCACTTCAGAGAACCATTAGATTCCCTAATGGGTTTCATCTACTGCAAGGTGAACTACAACCTGAGAGTGCTGCCTTCTTTGCTTTAAGTGGGGTCTGGAAAACCAGCTCAAGTGCAAAAAAAGTACATCCACAGGTTTGAATACATAAAGCCATCTCCAAGCAAGGAGTTGCACTTTGCACAGCCATACAAATAGCTGTAATAAAACCAAAAAGTTTGCTGCCAAAATCCATAAATTTATATAACTTTTCAGGGCAAGTTATATGAAACTGAAGTAAAAAAGTTCTTCAGGTGATGTGAAAAGAGAAAATAACCTAATTTTTGGCTCAAACAACCTATTTTGTTACTGCATAAGATCTATTTTTTAACAAATATATAGTATCTTACTTCAGCTAAAATACCTCTGGTTTTAAAACTTTTTGAAAATAACTTTCAGCTACTTTACAAGCATAAATGTGTCAATATGATGTTGTCTTGTTAGAATGCCCTTCAACCACCTGAATAACTCAATACTGGCAGCAGTTCAGACCACACATCTTGGCAGGCAAACAACCTGGCTACAAATCCAAAGCTATCACTGAGCACACTTTCTGTGGCATGCCAACCTTGAGTACCTTGAAAATGTATGAGTATTTTAAGAAGGTGAAAATGTTGTTGTCAGTTTGTCAATTATATAATATCACCAATTACCACAGCTTTAACAAATCCTTAGATGTCATAGGTCTCCTGAAGCTGCTGCTAAATAAGAAAAGGGAGAGGGATGGATCAGCAGAGCCATTGAGGGAGTGAGAGTCCCTGTGTCACCATGTCTGGAGGTTAGAGGCTTGTTTACTTCAGTTTTAGCCTGTTTACTGAACATTGAACTGGGAATCTTGATTGCTCCTGAGGAAATAAATAGAAATTGTTGTATTTTTGAACTTCCAAATTCTTCATGCAGTGCTGTGGAAATTGACATTGTGGGCAGGAGAGGATTGTGATGGGATTGATCTTTCCAAAGATAAATTGGTTGTAAAATCATGTTCCTAAACTTCTTGTTGCTTCTCCAGCTCTCCTTCTTCATGGCCCACCTTATCCACCCACAGCTCACACTGTGGGAGCTATCAGGCCCTGGGCAGGTGTTTACAATCCAGCAGTTACCAAAGCAGCTCTGATATCAGGATCTGGCTCATGCCTCTCACCATTTCCAATCCATCACTCCTCCTTCCATGCTCTCCCACTGTTCCTCTCAGCTAACCCTCAGACGTGCACAAGGTCATTACTCCAGAGGAGGAGCCTCCCTAGAGAAAACCTTTCCCTTACACATCACCCCTTCTGCTAATGTTTCACCTACATCTTTGCTGTCCTGCTCATCACCCAGCACTTCCCCTGCATTGCCCCTGGATGTTCACCTCCCCCTTGCCTCTCTGATAACTGGGCAGCCAGCAAAAGCAGCAGCAGGCCAGTAGAGTTTATGTTGTCCAGTCAAATCTCAAATCATGTACTTCCAATCCCAGCTGGTTCCTTCAAGGAGAAACAAAACAAAACAAACTGGAACAGAGAAGCATGAAAATGCCTTTGCAAAGTTTGAACGCTGATGTTTAGTTTCTTGACATGATGAATTTACCCAGAAAAGCTGTATCTCAAGCATGCAGGAATCTGTTAAGAAAAAGGCACTGCAAGTAGCTGGCAGGCAGCAAGACATTGTGTCAATGACCATTACCCTTCTCGGGTAATATCCTTGTCAAAGACAATAGGACTATACTGCACACATCGGATGCAGAAGCAGCCACTGAGCAGGCAAATTCCAACTCATTTCACCAGCCATAAAATAAATCCTGAGTCCATCAGTGCTTGTGTAGAAATGAAAGCAGCTTTATGACCAAAGCATAAGAAGAAAGCCCTTCAAATGCCCACTTCAAAGTCTAAAGCTTTCTTACACTTCTGACACTTTCAATCCCTTTAGCTTTTTGCTGCGAGTGCAGTTTTAGCAACAACAGGAACAAGAAAATAACACCACCAAATTGGCTTAGCACCACGTGTGAATTCTTATTTACAAGCTACCGATAGCAGCATTTTTATCCCTGGCTCAGCTCTAGCTGCACAAGCGAGTCAGAAAGCAGCTGCAGAGCTCAGGCTGACAGCAAGAAGGGCGCTGCCCCAGCCCAACCCTGCTGCTCTCTGCTGAGGCCCCACACCACTGAGGTGATCAGGTATTGCCATCCAAGCGCCCCTGTGTCACTGGGGGATCAGGGACTCGCTATGCACCAGTATGACCTACTGCTGCCCAGAGCCCTTCTTTTCTATTTCTGACCTTCTCATTTTCTCACCTCACACAAAAAGGGCTGCTCTTATTGACCTTCACACCGATTTTATTTTTCTGCTCCACAGGGTAGCAAATGGTAGCAAATTTAATGGTGCCTGAAAGAAGAGCAGCCACAATAAAGACTGAGCATGAGTCTGTGCCGAGGAGTCAAGGCACCCACATAGGAAGGAGTTAGATTCCCCCTCTCCAGAGCATATTGTTGTACCAAGAACAAGGGCAGGAGCTCTGGACTCATCTTTGCCCCTGTATTAATCACACTTCCTGGGCCTCTTTATCTATTGCATTTATACACACCTGGTTATAAATATTGCCACATGAAATAAAGCAGTTTGAGGCTTTTTACCTAGCTGACATTCCTCATGTTTTCCCGCATTTCTTATGGCATGTGGTAGGGGAGGAGATCCCACAAAATCCATTATCCTTTTTCATGGATTTTCAGGCAGTGAGGCAATAATTAAGACCTCAAATCTACATTTTGGCAAGGTTTTCAGTGGATTAATTTGAAATACACAACAAGATAATGATATCTTAATGCTTTTTTCAGGTTGTTATATAAATCACACCACTCTCTCCAGAATGATGGAGGGTCCTATTTATTACTCCCTCTTCAGTTTCCATCACTCCTTGTTGCCCCAAAACATTTAGAGCTCTTGTAATATCTCTTCCCAATGTACTAAGATACAATTTTCCTGTTGCTATTGCAAGACACCAAAAACCAGATGAAACTGGGTTTTTCGTTAGAATCTAGGAAGGAAAGTTGCAGGAACATAACAGTAAGTTATAAATAACATCCATTCTGGTGCACCTGACAATTGCAAGCCATAAAAAACCAAAAAGGGCTATAACATGCTCCAACTAATTTAAGATCTTTCATCTAAAACACTAAAGACCCCAGATATGACAATGTGCATGCACATAAAAAATGTCAAACAAAAACCAAAACACTCCACCCAAAAACACAGAAGAAATGAAAAGAAAAATTTACCTCATGCTTCTGTAGGAACAGAGAGTCTACTACAGAACAGAGCTGAGATGATCCTAAAAAGACTCTAAGCCGTAAAAAGAAAAATTGATGGTGCTTGCTAGTTTGACCTGAAGATAAAATACTTCCTGGTCTTAAACCTCCTGACCTCCTGCATCCAGGGGGCTTCATTTCAGCCCTGCTGCATGGTAAGATTTTTTTAGCGCAAGTATTTTGTCCATAATATGAATCAGGCATGTAGATCCATCTTACCCTAGGAAAGCTGCTCTCTGTTTGCTTAAACTAAGGAAACTTGACAGTGTGACTATGCTGAGACTCCCAAATATGTTTAATTTTACTGTGAGAGTCATTATTAGCATGTAGAAGTCCTAAACTAGCCTGTTAAAATTGATACAGCCCCTGCCCTGTGATGTGCATATGAGACACAAGAGGCAGGTACAGCTGGACAGAAGGAAAGAGCAGAGTGAAACAAGCAGCACTGATTTTTTTTTTAAATGCCCCAGCAGGGAAGATTTTACTGGGGAATCAGACTGCAAGCAGTGAGGGAACTTTGCCACTATTTATCTGGAGTTCCTCCACACACTTAGGGAGACATTCAGCAAGTAAACTTCCATGGATAAGTTCACAAGTTCTCTCACACCTTCTCTTAAGCCAGAGGAGAAAATGTAAAGTTATTTGCAGGAGTGGTTTATCCAAGCTGTCAAACATTCATGGAACAAAATCAAACTGAACTTTGGCAAGACCAAGGGATTTTTCAGAGTTGTATTTATTTCAAGAAACCTGGAAGAAGTCCAAGTAGGGCTGTTTTACTAAAAGCCAGAGAGAGAAAGACCTCATCTGACCTGCAAAATCTGAGCGCTGCTTGTGCATCCTGATTGCCAAAACTGAAATGGCCTGTGGATGCCGTGCCAGAGAGAACTCAGTTTTCAGCCCAGAATAACCAGTATCCGTTGTGGTCGATGCAAAGGCTGAGTTCCAGCCCTGCTTGTTGCTGAGTCAGGGAAGCAGTGACGCCTCTACAAGTCGCATCCCAACAGAGCACCCTCATCTTTACACCTCTCATCATCCTTAGTGAATGTATTTTGAAAAGTTTGCAGCTTCATTTTGACACAAAATAAAAATGGATTTTGGAACTGCAACATCTCTTCATGGGATAGAGTCCTTTTTTTCCAGTCCAACTGAGCTTTAAGCTTTAGTTTTCAATGTCTAATGCAAATAATTTGAAATTGGAATACTGAAAGGCCTGTATGCATTCTAAGCCCTAGTATTACAAATCAGTAAGCATAAAACATATTTTAAATTCACTCATATTTCATTAATCCAAACTTCATAGTAAGTAAAGTAGAAATCTTCCTACAAATTCAAAAGCAAACCACTTTCCAATCTCCCTTCATCTGTTCAAATTATGCTGACTGCCATAGAAAGCATACCCTTTAGAAATAACAGATGATTAAACAGCCTGCCTCACCTGTAAATAAGCATGGAATTTGGTGTGTTAGAAATGTTATTTGCTTTGCACCTACTAGTCAAGCTCAAGTCTTGTGACTATTTATCTACCAGAGAACCTCCAGGATTTTTTCATTTGAAATAAATGCCAAGTGACAAATTGCTTTTGACTCCAGAGATTTGGAAACCGAAGTGCTGCCACACATGCAAGCTTATTGCTGGGGAGCCATCTGCAAGGCAAACACAAAACTCTAACATTATTATTCCAACCCAACATGAAATACTGCAAAATATAAACTTAGCCTCCAGATTCACTCCTACTAATATGCACACAAGACTCAAAAATGTTCAGCTGTGAAAATTCATGTGTCATTCTTAACTCCGTTGTGTTTAGAGACTTAGTACACCTATGGCTGCTTCTCATCCTCCAAACAGACAACACAGAAAGACTTTTTTGTGCCAATCAGATACCAGCATTTGCAAGACAGAAAGAACATGGCAAAGATGCACAAAATATAGGAAGAGGTTTGCTGGTGCTTGCTGCATTTCAAATGGCTATTTTAAAAATATGAATAGTTTTACTGGTTGCAGGATATACTTTCAAGAATCATCAGATTTCTTACAGATTTCTTATGTGTGGTAGTCTAACTTGCACTGTCATGTCTCTAGCCAAAATTGCAGCAAGGTGCCAGTGGGCCCCAGAAATCTCTGATGCTTCAGTTGTGTTCCTCCACCTATGGACATTGGGCAAATCATGCAGTTCTGTCACACAGTTTTCTCTGAAGACATAGGAAAAATCTTTCTGAACTTCCTCATTAGGAAACAGCACTCCCTGGCAAATCCAACATGCTTATGTTATTAATGGAAATTAAGAAGAAATCATGCCTCTCACTAGCCTTTCAGACACTAAAGTGTCTGAAACATTCATTATTATATCTCTGAGCATAACTTGACAAATTGCATAAGCCCTGCTGGAAAAGATGCGTAGTGATGAAATAAACTAGTGCAAATGTGATCTGAGCAGTAAAAATTAATTCTAAAAGCAATACATGATTGCCTTTACTGAACAATTACAGTACTGACAAAAATAATGGTTACAAGAGCTCTGCTGTCAAAACTATATCTTAAGGCACCACCATATGTATTAAAGATGTTGCAAAACAACAAATTTTGAAAAACGGAATGTACACTAAAATACAGAATCTGAATTCAGAGATGAATCAAGAGAGGAAAGTCTGTGTTTTAACAGCTGTTCTTTCCCTCTGATTTGGATGTAGATACTGTTCTGGAGGACATAAGTGACAAGACACTGCCAGTAAACGTGTATCTGATATAATTAAGAAGTAGTGACATACACAATTTCTCCCATGTCTGACCATGAATGTTGTTCACAGTGGCTCAGATACACTAATTATGATTCAGGGAGGAGACACCAAGACTATCCATGCCCTCCACCAGAAGTTTTACATCTCAGCTTTATTGCTACCAAGCACTTCTACAAACCTTTGCGACTCTACTGGATTCAGGGAATCTTTTAGAAGGTTTTCCAAACAGAAATGCAAAGCTCTCAGTGTGATTCTAGTAGGATTTTTTCCACTTGTCACTGACTTACAGCTGAAGACACCATAAAAATCTGAGGATATGTTTGTCCAAGGCACTGGCAATGTCCCCATCACTAAATGGGATTGTCCAAATGTCTCATGAATTAACATCTTCTAACAATTTGAACATGTTTAACCTCATATGACCCCCACTGTTTCACTGTTTCACAGAACATTATTCATATGAGGAACTACAGCACAAGGAGGCCAATGCTTAGATCCTGGGAAAGGACACTGACAATAATTTACCATTATGTGCCATTGCAATGCCCAGCTTTCAGCATCCTTGTTCTCCTGATGGAATATGGACCTTTGATGGTCTGATCACTCAGATACTTCATGCTGGGGGGCACCCAAGGCAGCAGGGAACTGCACAGGGCAAGGACTAGCAACCTATTCAAATCCTGCCATCCTTCTAGGCAGCAGAGAGGCACCCCCAGGCTCCCCTAAAGGTGATGATGGATACACACTGAAGAGAAATAGCAAGAGATCTCCATAACAGTAAGCTGCAAAGATGGACAGCCTTTTAGGGAGCTGTAGAGAGCAGTGTTTTGACAGATCCACCAACCTGGTAACAAAGCAAGAGTGGTGTAGTCATGTCATCTTGTGTGTCATTTGAAGATGGTATTGTCATGTTTTAGGAGGAGAAGAGATCTTTATGGAGTAAAAGCAAGTTGTTCCTTGATCATGCAGCTAGATTCATGCCTTTAAACAGGTACTTGGTATTGTCCTTCAACATTTTCCTCAAGACTTTAATATTGTAAATAGGAGCACATTTTAGGACAAAAAGAACTGTTAGATACTCAGATGTGCATTACCTTGTTTATCATAAGTTCTAGGGGTTTTTTCCCCATGATTACCCCTGCAATTAGCCCAAAGTTTAATTTTGTTTTAAGGAAATATTAGGACCCAGACAAACTGTCAGTGACATTAAAACAGCCATGCACGGCAGAGCAATGGTCCGTCCAGTCCTGTGCTCCATCCCCCTTCCTTGTCTGGATCAAATGCAGGTGCCCAGGGCCAGTGTTTGACAACAGGGCAAGCATCCATCAGCACCTGCCCTGCC